AAATCTATTTTACTATAATTGCACCAGAACTTGTAGAATTGCTCCACGGATAGAGACTTTATCAGTTAAATTATCGACGCTATATACGGTTCGTTGTCAAGACTTCTGATTTCTTCAGAAAGTCACAAACCGCTTTCTGTTTAAACGTGAATTTCGGATAAATACAAAAATTTTGTTTTGATTTTTCAAGCAGTCTCTGTTTCACAAATTCACAAGGTCACCTGGGCTTTGAACTCTGACAGGACGCATAAGCAGAGAAATCCCATTTCACCCCTTTGTCACCGCGTATAATTATCGATCATGAATGAACTGTAAAAAATTCATTTGTCAGCATTTCTGTGTTTATTACTTGAACATCAATACGCGCCTATATCATTTTGGTAAAGGAAATATTTTTGTCCTATTACTTGTAACGTTTAACTGATAATTTAAACTTATTTGCATCTACAGCTGATCTTCAAACCGGGCTTAGTCACACTCAGCGACGGCACGAGAAAAGCATCGTTCAGCAGTGTTGCAAAAACTCGTGCTCCATGGAGTACCTGATGTCGTTCTGTGAGCACTCGACACCTACTTCGCAGTCGACATATAATATTCAGAGTACAGTACGATTGATTTGTACGAAAACGAAGACGCAATCTTTTATTCGTTTTTCAGGGAAACGACATGACTTCTTCCACAAAAGACTCTGACGTCAGTGTCCTGAAGCGTCAGGGAACGCAGTTCTTCGTCGAGCCGCGCCAAACCATAGTCAGGAATGTGATCAAGAAAGATCAGATGCCGATTCGAACATTTCAGTCATTATTTCACTTACTAAGTTACATAACCAAAGCTGTCGACGACGATGATCGACAAAAGAATTTAGCTACTAATAAATAAAATTTTACGTTATGATTTTTGCCACGGTGATACGAGAAACACTACAGCAAGAAACACGCAGCCAAAATGTCAGAAAAGGAAACGGTAGCACGCGTGGTAATGTGAAAAATACGGTAAATGACGAGGTCTTGCAAGGATTGTAAGATTGTGGCTTGCAATCAGACTAACTTCATGACCAATGCCCCTTAGAAGCGTAGTTTCGAACGCTTCCTCACGCGCTGCCGCATAAACGTCAATGCGATGTTCAAATGCCAGCGCGTGCTAACAGTCGTATAACTCGTTTAGGACCAGATTCGTCCTCGTTGCCGAGTAGCCATTTAAAGAGGCCATGTCTTAATGATATATGGACAGGCTACAGTGTTGCAATTGGAACTGTTTACTTGCTTTTACCGAGAAGTGTACCTTCATTTCCAAAGCTCGCTCGACAGACAAATGCATAACAGATAAATAACACATACAATCAATTCGATCAATCAACCAAGTGGCACAATTCGGTCTGGTGCTTTACCCTAAGGAAAAAAGCAACAGGAGATTTGCTTCATCTGCTGAAGAGTCAACAAAGAAGCGGGCGAAGAATGGCACCACTGACTTTCGGTAAGTTTCACGTCGAGCGCTAATAGTTCAAATGCAGTTCAACTTTTCTAAACTTTCACCTTTTCAGCGAAAGAATATGATGAATATAATACTACAGCTTGATGAATAATTTCTTATAAGTCCATTTTCGATTATGCGGCGAATACAACAGCGATGAGATTTCCTAACGTCGATGCTTCCAATGTTCTCAGGCATCTGTTCTTCACTAATGTGATGGCGAACGATGAACAACAGAAAATTCGGGAAATTGCACATCCACCCCCTCCAAACACCGGTCTATAATAAACTCAAGAAATCGCATAAACTTTCAGTGTATTAAAATTCAAAAATGCTTTTTCGGACTGTTTCGCATAATGAGGATATACCTACCACCGAAAGTAACTGGCGAGCATCATAAAACGAAAAACAGACTATAGGAGACATTTAAACTATGAGGCAACCATCGATGAAAGTAGTTTTCATCTGCTGTAGAAAATATAGCATTAATCAATCACACATGAGGTGAAAATAGCAGATATAGACAAGTTATGAACAAAAGGGAATTCCATTACTCTCCTTAATGCGATTAAGGAGATTATTAGTCCAACCATTAGCCGTCTAACCTCGAACGTCAGCTACACCAACCTAACGATAGCACCGCAAAGAAACAAGGAGTTTCGCACACTTTTCAAGTGACCTTCTCAATTAGGCCAAAACTGTTATTTGCGCCTAAACGAAGACAGGAGTAAGATTGGCCAAGTGACAACTTTAATCGAATTGGACTTCGTCTTGGTCGTCGCTAATGAACCTCTCCAATTCAGCGGGAATTTTGTAAATTAGTTGGTCGACACAGCAAATTCCCCTGTACTACAAATAATCATGATGCTCAGGCTGTAAACCCTGTATTCATCTTATGGAAAGTACGAATTCTATCCTAAATGGTCTCGTCCGTTTCGTGGGGCAGACATGATGAGAAGGTTTTTGACACCTCTGCTCTGATGAGAAGGCCTACTTCATTGTGTACTGTTAAGACGAACCTCCATGTAACTATTGCCGTCAACTGATTCTCGTCCAAATTTGGAGTGACCAACATTTGCCGAGCATGCTTTGAATAAAGGCGTCGTACTTCGATTGGCTAGAGGTTCAGGTCGTTAAACTCAAGCAACAATGAACAGGGAAGGCGACAATGCAATTTCTGTGATAAATGACGAAAACGAGTTCCTGAAGTGCTGCCTTTCATAAAAGTAGGTTAAATACAATCATCGACACTCGCTAATTACTTAACGCTGAGTTAGCGGCAGGTTTCGAGAAAAGAAGTGACAGCTGGAACAATAAACTACGCCGGACCTTTGAAGCGTTTAGACACAGTGACTTTCGATGCAAGGTAACCCTGCTTCTTAGCCCAAAATGCTAAGATCCGCAATTTAAGAGGCTAGATTGCAGTCTCTGTACAACTAACTTCCAGTCTAAGCAAGTTCGATCAAAAGTCACCGGAAAAGCGGTCCATGTTTTGCATTGAAAAAGGTTATTAGGGTCATGTGGAGCAGAACTATGATAATTGTCTGTCTGACGAGTATTTCATGCGATACAGATGGACAAACTCATGATAGCGCATGGTACTCTGTTGTCTGTGTGAATTAAATTCCAGTTGTTCCCTCTATCTAAGAGACTACTGTTCAACCGCTCCGTGTCTGAATATTTATTCCTCTCCTTTCAAAGTTCACGTCATGTAAGTAGCGCTATGTTTTGCAATGATGAAATTTGGCAAAATATGTTAGGTAAACGGGTCACTTGTTCGAACCCTTGAATTACGTACTTATAAATTTTTTCTTCCCAGACAGAAGGTGAAGCTCTTTGAATTACTTACGCTGATTGTAGTTTGCATCCTGCTATCTTATTTTCAAGAATGTATGAATCTTTTTTCAGAATTGGCGATCAAACGTGACAAATAATGGTAAGCACAGTCAGAGTAAATCTTCTGCCTTGAAGGTAACACATGTTTGTAGATGCATTTTATGGAACTAAGAAGAAAATTTACGCTCCTTGCCGCATATATCGTTTTAAGTAGTTTCGAATCTTCACTGCTAATTCATGGTCATAGCGATGAGGAATGGTTTCAAAAGGATATCGACCCTGTGGATCCAAACTTCTTTTATCCCAATCGCTTTTACCACCGCACCATTCTGATCACTGGTGGTGCAAGAGGTGTCGGAAAAGCTACTGCTTTGAGAGCGGCCAAAGAAGGTGCCAACGTTGTAATCGCTGATTCGTTGCCCGAAGGTGCCGACACCGCAAAGGAGATTCTGCTCCACGGAGGTAAAGCGATATTCGTGTTGACCAACGTGTCTTCTAGCAGCGACTGCTACCGTATGGTGCAAAAGACAGTCGAAACGTTTAAAACTCTCGATCTGGTCGTGAACAGTGCTTCGGTAATGGACGGATACGAAACAGATATCACCTCTAGACACGTCCCGACAAATGAACTGTTTC